GGAAAATGCAGTTTGTTTTGCTGCCCATTCATAGCACGTTGAATCTTTTCTTTTCTTACAGCTTACCCTGTCCTCATGCATGGGAAGAACAGTGCATGTGTGCACACTAATACCTGCCTGATTTTGTGGTTTTTTATTAATTCTTTGAACATGTTGTTGTACATAGCCACATTTTATGAAAATGACAAGACAAGGAAGTTTATTCCATTTTGCATATGTTAAACCTTCACTTAACTTACATTTTTATTTGATGCAATATAGATCATGAAACCACCATTTGAAAGTTTAAATTTTTGATCTTCTCACCTAAAGTATAATTTCTGAAATTTTCACTTGAAATTATTCATATTTATTGCAGGTGACACTTGGAAAGTTCACTGTTTTTTCTGGTATAGAAGTAGTGTTCATATCATGTACTGATTTATATGTTCTGACATGAAATAAATGTACAAAGTTATGTATTTTTGAAAAAAAATCTATTACATGTGTTAATGTCACCACCTCACAAATATGTTATGTTGGCATTACCAAGTGTGGCATATTAAGAACTAACAGTTTCAGGTAGCCTCCAGTAGCATTATATCAGTACCAAATTTCACAGAAATTCATGAAGGTGTTCTCAGGTTGAATCATGTGGACTAAAAATGGTTACCCCTATATTAATTTCATACACATCATGCAAGGAATATGTTTGTCATCCAAAGTAAGTATTAAGTGAGTTCCAGGCTTGACCCCAGTTGCTGCCACTAATATCAAAAATAAAAAGTAAATATTTCTGTTAAAAAATTACAACCTGCAAATGAGAGTAGAGCCAACTCCTGAAGCATTTTGTTTACTAAATACACGTAACACATTTCAACGTTGTTCAACATTAGTAGATTCTGAAAATGCTATCATTGTCACATAACTTCTGATAATCAAAAATTCTTCTGTTTTAGTACATCATAAACCATATCGACTCTTGTTAACATCAGCAACATGTCTCTAGCATTATTGGTACATTAATTAGTGCATGTTATCAACAAGTTCTCATTACAAGTAACCTTCTTAACACAGAACTTTAATTTTATTTATATAAAAATAAATTAAAATAATCAGAAGCATGAACCATTATTTTATACCAATAAATAACTACTGACTTATTTCAAGTGTCAAGGAATTGCAAATTGAATGTTGTGTGTTGGCAATTGTGCCAGAGTATATGAATAACTTAAAGAACTATGAACTGATTATACTATGGATATTTCATGCATACTTTCCTTAGTTGTCATATTCATCAAATTAAAATCTTTTTCATTAGTGATAGTGTAAAATATTTAGAGATTTATGTATGTTTAGCTCAGCTTGTGGTTATTAAAATGCAATTTGTTACATTTATTTTCTTCATGTGTAACAGTTTCAAATGGTTTAAATTTGTTGAAGTTGTTTTTGGTCTAGCAACAGAAAATTTTTGGTATTTTTATTAAAAAAAAATTACTTTCCATTCTCCATTTCATGTGTGTGGAGACCTACAATTCTGTAGAAATATTTCTTGTACCATTACCCTGAATACTACAAATACATACAAACAGTAACTTGATTATTTTGTGCCTGTTATAATTTTAAGGATGTATTACAAAGTTTAATGCACTTATTGAAACAACTATCTGATATTGGTACTATAATTCTCCTTATAAATATTATGGATGTTCTGTACAAATTAATTCAAAGTGCTCTCTTATATCTTCGATGAATATTAATACCTCCCTTCTAGATTAGTGGTGCATGGCAGTCAGCTCTCTTATAAGGGATAAAAGGCTTTTTTGTAATATTCTTAGAAAATAACTTATACTTATCTTCCCCCTTTTGATGCCAGAGATAGACTACTTTATTTAATTTAATTTATTCAAGTTAATAAATATCGCTATAACTTCTCCTTGTTGCCTTCACAGATATGTAAAAAATGCAATTTAACTACATTTCCATGAAAGTAAAAACAGTGGGAAATAATTTTGTACTATAAACAGTGAAAGACAAGAGTCTTGATGAATTCTGATGTGCTGAATAGGATGGCCATATAATTTTTATTTATTTTATATACAAGAAATAAAAATGTCATGTAATTAATTAAATGTTCAGTGCATTAGGCAAAACATTATTAATTAATTAATTAATTAAAATGTTTCTCACAGTACAGGATGTGTATTCCTGTTAGTGGGATGAGTTAACATACATGTACAGACATGTATGTACGTAAAGACCCCACATGCAGCTTGTGAGCTGCTGGTTGTGATGTCTGGTCTAGGTGGATTTTAATCAACATACTAAGTAGAAGCTGTGTCAGTAGTAAAATAAGAATAAAGTGATAGTTGGTGGTAGAACTATGATTTTTACATGGTTGTTGAAGATGTATCAGAAGGTAATGAGTTGTTTACACTAAATGGAAGCCAGGTAATATTAAACATCTCACCATATCTTCATCAAAACATCATATAAATTATAATATTGGTAACTTACTCTTACTTTGATCTTTATAAATATATATTGATTTGATTTTTTTGTGTCCATACTGGTATGTTAATATTCTAACTTACATGTCTGTTTTACTAAAGTATTGAACGGATTATGATTAGAAAGATTGTTTCAGTGTGTATGACTTATTGAAGCAAAATTATTCTAAACTTCAGGCTTATGAGAGTTATTGTAAAGATTAAATATAAACCAATTAAACTTCTCATTTTTGCTTTGATGTTATTTGTGAGACAAAATAAATTCTCTAGGTATACATAGCCAAATTTGGTCATTTATATCTCAGTAAAATATTTTGTGGCTCTACAGCTATACAGAAATTTAGAATTCTGTCTGAACCCACATAATTTGTGCACTTATTTTTTAATGCCTGTACATTGGTTATATCACCACAACTTTGTCAGCTCAGTCTCACATTCTACCAGAAGGTGAGGTATGACAGAGACAGAAAAAACTCTTAAGTTGCATGTCTCTCAAATATTGCTATTAAGAAGATATTTTGGGATGTATAATTACTACAAAAACCCTCATACTACAGAATAGACTATTTCTATGGTATACACTGAACATTTCTGTAATAAGAATAAGGATTCAAACTGTCATAGTAGGGAGTAACTCTAGGGCTGACATTTTAGCAATATGCTGTGACGTACAGCAACGGGGACAGTGCGTATGCCGTGACACACGGCCAGTAAAAGTTAAAGGTCTTTAATTGTATGATCATAGAAAGAAAAAGATGAGTTTGTATCACTAACAGTAAATGAACAAAACTCACAGTGAAGTTTCCAAGTCTTAGAATGACGAGAAGAATAAATATTAATCCTTTCTCAGATTTTGGCATGATATCACACTGAGATGTGGCCAGCCATCTCTTAGCCTTGTTGTGAATTTACTTCAAGAATTCTACCAGGATCTGTAGAACAATAAAGTATCTAAGCTATAATAACTTGGGAATTTAAATAAATAAATAAAATTAACATTTTATGTGAAGTTATTAAGCTGAAGCTGTTTTGACTCGGTTTAATTTGTATTTATAAAAAGTATTGTATATTCCTTGTTAAAATGGCCTGCCAGGTTCAGGTTGGGTTTAAATGTCCAGTACAGGAGAGGAAAGGTTAATCACAAGAGATACAGTTGAACTCTTCCCTTCTGTATATTTTTCTTGTCGAAGGAACAACTTCTCAAATATTGATTGCAGTGGTTTTAAAATGTAGTATTTCAGTTTTCTGTGTCACACTGAAATAATATCTTGGAAATGTGGATTATTGGTATTTCCATAAGTTCTTTCCCCTTTAATCTGATTGTAATATTGTCCCTGTCTTTCTCAGGTTCAGGCAATTTTAGATCATCATCACAATGCTGATGTGAAGACAGCAACAAAAGTACGCTTCCAGGAACCAGGGCAGGAAGGAAAGGAAGGAGGTATACAAGATGCAGATGAATCGAATGAAGAGGAAACAAAAGAGGTAAAATTATAATACGAGAAATGACAATATTGCGTTCCTTAATTTTGAACCTACTCTGCATGCCAGTAACCCAGAGACCAATTATATGTACTTAATTATTCTATATGAATCATTATTTTGTATGTTAATAGTAATTACAGATGTAGTATTGGTACAGGACTTTGATGTTATATTGGAAAAAGTTAACATATCTGCAATAATAAAAATTAGACTCAGAAATGTATCAATAACTTGTATAATTATCACTGCCAATATCAATGCCAGCATCCCCAAGCAGAATGTAGCATTTGAAGGAAAATGTGTGTTATAAATTCTTTTCACAACTTATTTTTCTTTAAATTTAAAACAAGAAAATACATAAACCATGGCATTTCTTTATTCTCATCACGGAACATCATGGCTCATGGTTGGCACTCCTGGTTTGTGTTTCGGAGGGCTGGGTTTAGACACAGCCAAGAGACTTGCTAACCTGACTGCGATTGTTTGTTATTCTTATTTATTGTTAATAAATATAATGTGAGTTGTATTTACACTTTTGCCGTCACAGTCGCCACGTGGTCTGAGGTGTGGGCCTTGTGCCGCTTGGTCAATGGGACCGTGGGTTCGAATCCCACTCAAGGCATGGATGTTTGTCCGCATCTTTCTGTGTTGTACTGTCCTGTGTACAGGTAGAGGCTTTGCGACGGGCTGATCACTCGTCCAAGGAATCCTGCCAACTGTCTATAGATCAGAGCCAACAAAAAGTTGGGACCTGCAGATGCTCAGGCACTGAAGACTGGGTCGTATAAAATAAAAATAAATTTATACTTTGCATTTTTATAAGCAAATACTTCAAAATATCTGCTCAGCATGGGGAAATAAAACACTTATTAGAACAGCTCTTTTCACTGTCAGTTAGATTTTGCTACTGTTGGTTCCTTTAGCATTGTATTCCAGGTTAATTTCTTGAGGTCAGTGACTAATCATTGGATTTCATTACTACATATTTATGTGTTTCCAATGGAATTCTCTGTTGTGTTAGTTCATTACTGTTTTATTATGTAGTAGTATTAGTAGAAGTAGAAGTAGCAGGTGTGTGTGGGTGTCCATGGGTTTTTGTGTGCCAGTTCATCAGCCATTCAGTTGATGTTTAATTCCATACACTTAGTACAAATTCACCGAAAGGATTCCCCAAGTGTCTGATAGAATCATTCATGGAAAAAGGGTTTTTATTGTTCCAAGAAATATTATATTAGTACTGAAATACATTTCCATTCCAATGATATTGAACTTCGTATAATTGTGATTCCAGCATGCAGAAGAGAATACCATTATTTCAAAAGATGGTGATGGAGGTGCCAATTCTATTCATTCAGAATCACAGCAGCAAGATGAAAACAAAGTATCAACTGACCCAAATTCCAAAGACACGCCCAATAAAACAGTCTCTGATAAGTCAAAGAAGATACCTGCAATAACACCGTAAGTCTGATCACGTAATTAACAGCCAGACTAGCTTGCCTAACAGTTATTTAATGGCTGAATCATTGTTTTATATATATATATTTAACAACCAAAATTTCTGACCTGGAAGATATTTAACAAGTATGAAACAAACATTAAAGTGTTCATGGACTTGCTTATATTCAAACTAAATTTAACCAGATTCCATTAGCCTGATAATTTCCAGTACAAATTTTGATGATTACTGTACAGTGTCAAACCTACTTCTCTCCCACGTGAGTAAATGGTTTACTGCTAACAAATGTAATAACATTTATGAGATATTCACCACAATATGCATCAAATATTAATTACAATGATGAGAACATAGGAGATTCAGTAAATACAACATCCCTTGGATTACAAATTAATAACTGCTTAAAGTGGAAGAATCGTATTGATCAAATGATTCCTATGTTAAATAGATCATGTTATGCGGTTAGTTTGATGTTTCATATTTGCAGCACTGTCACTTTTTTTTTTTTTCACTCTGTAATTAAATTATGGAATAATTCTTTGAGGTAATTCATCTAACAGTAAAATTATATTAAATTTGTAAATGAACGTTGTTAGAATTATGGCTGGAGCCAAATTTAGAAATTCATGTAGAAGTGTATTTAAGTGATTAGAGCTTTTACATGTTTCATGTAAATACATACGAGGTGCGATCGGAAAGTTTCAAGACTGTGTCAATAGAGGGCGAACCGGATGTAGTATGAGCTTCTGCCGCTAGGGGGTGCGGCCTACATTCATAGTGAATCAGTGTGCCAGCCGGCATCATCGAATTAGCATTTGTTTCTTAGTTACGGGCGTTTTGGTAGGTCATTACACCGACCCTCCTGCGATTTCGGAATGGCGTGTGCATCAAATGTTGCCAAAGACTCGCCAAAACGGCTACGGAAACCTATGAAATGCTAAAGCAAGCATGTTACGAAGATTCGGCAGGCCCTTCACGAAGATCGACGTCGTACCATCACTTGTACGACTTGTGCGACATTGTTGGGATAGGCTATGGGGCCTGTCAGCTGATTCTAAAGGAAGAACTCCACATGCGACGCATCGCAGCCAAGTTTGTGCCAAGGCTCCTGTCTGAGGACCAGAAGCAGAATCGACTTTTCGTTTGTCAGGAGCTCAAAGATCTTGCCGGATTTAGCTCTGTGTGACTTCTTCCTCTTCCCAAAGATGAAAATTCAGCTAAAGAGAAGGAGATTTTAGACGATAGAAGAGATTCAGGCAGAATCGCAGATGGTGCTTGACAGGCTGACAAAGAAAGATTTCCAGGGATGCTTCCAGGCTTGGCAGCGGCGCTGGGATCGTTGTGTTCACTCCCAGGAGAACTACTTTGAGGGTGATGGATGAATTTAATACCTGAGATAAGTGTACGGGGTTTTATACGCGCAGTCTGGAAACCTTTCGATCGCACCTTGTATACTAACAACTGGAATTTGTAAGTGGGAAAGGCTTCCTTATTTTAGTCAGTACTTAGTAACTTCCAAATAAAAACTGAGTACAAGGTTATAAAGTTCTTCAATAACTTTGATTTGAAATAGGGAAAAGTTAACTATTGATTTATACTGATGACTGGACCATTTAAATTTGGATACAAATTTTTATTTATTTGTTCGTTGATTACAACATTATTTTTACAGTGCAGTTCCAAAGACACGCATGTTTATACACCTAATCAAGTTTCACTTAGGGATACAATGTAATAAAATATTTTTGTTAATAATTTTCCTATGTAATTTTGGTTTTTACTGAAACAACAAATTCTTGAAGAATTCATGCTTGCTAATATGTGTTTACTCTGATTTAGTGGTTCATTTCATTTCGCTGCGCCTTTAGCTTTGGTGTGGTCTGCTGTTATAGTCAGGTGCCCGCACTGTAGTTTCATTAGTTTTCTCATTTAAATAACATAATTTATTATCATTATGTAAATAAATAGCAGGGCCCTTGAAATATCTGTTTGAATGGAAAAATATATCAGGATTTATGAGAGACGCTTGTGGATGAGGAGCCAACCGTTTGGAACGTACGTTTCTTCTTACTAAAAAGTGTTCTAATCAGAAGAGCTTGCAGCTGATTGTACATGGAGAACAGAATTATATTCCTGTCATGTATGGATGAGGACTGGTGAGGGTAAATGGAGTTATTAATGCAGACGTGCTAGACTGACAGCACTGTGCACAGAAGTTAGTGCAGTTAGAGAGTGACTGTGACTAGTACCATGTGGTGCACATCTGATGCTCAGCATACAAACTTTACATCACTTTGTGATAGGTAATTTGATGTGCAGCTGTGTAATGTATGTGCATCTATTATTTATGATCACCAGGAACTTTGTCAGACTACAATAAATAATAAGGGCCATAACTTCAAAATTAAGGAGTTTTAAAGAAAGATCTAAAACTTCTTGACGATGGTGAAGAGTCAATTGAATAAAAATTTACTTGGATATTATCCATCGTCTAGTAATAAAACGTAAAACGACGTTTCGGAGATGGGGCTTTATCTCCGTCTTCAGGTTCCTACTCAGTTGGGCCCATTAGATAGAGCTAATTCCTATCTCCGGAGATAGTACTGAGTAGGAACCTGAAGACAGAGATAGAGCCCCATCTCCGAAACGTCGTTTTACGTTTTTTACGTTTTATTACTAGATGATGGATAATATCCAAGTAAATTTTTATTCAATTTAAAGAAAGAAAATTTTAATTCCTTTATTGAACACAAAGTAAAATAGATAAGTTCAGAATAAGGAAAGAACTTACTTGGAAGAGAATTAGAGAGTGGGAAATAGAAGGAGACCATTAATAATGTGATCGATGAAATATATCCATATTTCACTTTTCATATTTGTTCCTTTGGGCTCTTGTTCCATTAAGTACAAGCTCCTTAATTTCTCATCATATACTTGTTTTACCTCTCACTCTTGTTTAGTCAGCATTACAAATTACATACTGTTTTGAATTATTTACTTTCAGAGATGAGGGCAATGTTCGACGGATGCATACAGCTGTGAAATTGAATGAGGTGATAGTGAACAAATCCCATGATGCTCAACTTGTGATTCTTAACCTACCTGGTCCTCCAAGAGATTCTAAAATTGAGCGTGAATCTAACTGTATCCTTTGTTTGCTTGGTTGGAGACTGTTGTATCATGCATAAACTTTATGCATTATGTGACTGAAGTTCATATAATAAATGCATAATGGAGAGGTTTTTCTATCTGTGTAAATATTTCACATTTTATATTTCTTTATGGATTTCATGGACAAAGTTTCTTCTTTCATCCCTCTTAATTCTAGTTATTTTCCTTTTCTTCTTCTTCTAATTATTGCAGTTTACGTTTTTTCCTCGAGTAAAGTGTTCATAAAGAAGTAGTTTCCTTTACAGAAATTTTTCTCAGACATGGAATTCCTAGAAGTATTGACAGAGGGCTTGGAACGGGTGCTGATGGTACGGGGTGGAGGCCGAGAAGTCATAACCATCTACTCGTGAAGACTCTTCATCATTTCATCTCATCACCCTCATCACTACTCTCTGCATCTTCACATTTTGTCATCACTTTTACTCACACGCGATAGACATCATCTTATACACCACATGGATTCTTGAAGCTTGTAACATTTTACAATGTAAATATTATTGAAATTCTTGCAAGACGTTATCTATTTTCAGCATTGTAGTGTATATTGCTTGATATTTTTAAGAACAGGGCATTTGACTATTAGGAGCTGGGGTAGCTCAGTCGATATAGTGGCTGACTACCAACTGGACGACCGGCTCTGAAGCCCACCCAGCCTCCTGTCCAATGGGAACTGGGTTCCTTTCCTGGGGGTAAACCACTCACTCCTATGTAGTGCCAAGGTTAAGAATCAGTAGGAGCTCAACTGCTCTCCCCCCCAAGTGTCTACATGGCATATAGCAGGATAGCTTTTTTTTACACTTGTGTATTTATTATATGCATTTACATTATGCAATTAGATTTTAAAATATGTGTATATATTTTTAAGTTGTTGTAAAGCAGTTTGCATTAAGTAACAATTTTTCTAATAGGTAGGAATTATTAAATTTCTATGTGTTTTACAGTATGTATGAGAATTTTATTGTAATCAAATTTATGAGGAAAAAATGAAAATATTTAACAACTACAATGCTGAAAATAGATAAAATGGTATGATGTTTTTTCACCCTATGGGTTTAATAATGAAAGTAAAAATGACATTTATTTAAAATGGGGATTGAAAAATAAATTGGTATTGTGAAAAAGTGACAAATTAATCTTTTGTCATCAGGAGTAGATGTGCGTGGTGGGTGCATACATTGATCATTCAAGTCCCTTTGCAAACGTAACATGTTAATGGGCATCTCATCACTTCCTTCATTTCCCAATTGTCTTACAGAAAGGAAAAAAAAAAGGCTCACTTTTTTCTACACCATGTACATTCATATTAAAGTTCATTCGTATTTGTAAAGGATATTTGTCATGTGTCTCTTGTCATAGGATATAGGGAAAATACATGTTTCTCTGCAGCTTTGTTCCAGAAAATGAAAGTAGGATTGCAGAATCTTTGAATGTAAACTTTTATAAGTAATAAACTAATTTTGGTCCACAGTTGAACTATTTTGTTGGCTTGATTCATGAGGAAATTAATCCACAGTTGGTTGGTTGGTGAAATTTGAGAGTTATAAATAGATAAAAATTATTTATAATAAAAGCCCATCTAAATGTTAAGAATAAGTAAATTCCCATTCACAGTGGTGGTATAGATATAAGACATAAAGTGGTCAAGAATCAGAATCTTCATATACATTGAGTATTAAAAACAAATACAGAAGGTCATGGGACTGTTCTTTTGTTCACGTGGCTGCAAGAAAGTGGATTCAACTTTCAGTTTCTTAGTACCAAGCAAGACATAGACAAAAATTTCCATTTGTTATTGTATTGTATTGGTGTGTATTCCTTTGAATTACCTTTATGACACTGATAAATTGTCAAAATGATCATAACAGACCTAAAGAGACTATCTTACAAGGCAAGATTAGTAAGAAAAACAAACTTTGTTTACCCATAGAAGTACTTAATCAAACCAGAGGTTACACAGACTTATTTGAACATTTTGTATAACCTCGGAATGGGTCTAATTGACCTAAACCTTGTAAGGAAGAAGGAGAAAGATAAACCGTCTTATATTTATACTTTAATTGTGAATGAGATATAATGGAAATATATGCTAATGAATAGGTATGATTATTTGGAGAATTTAGTTTATAAACTGTGGTGCAGAAAGAGTGAACCTACAGTATAATATATAATATAGCATTTAATTATGTCTCATTTGCATGTAGTAGTGGGAAAACAAAGCCATCAGTCAGTTTGATTCATCAAAGCCATTGCATCATCAAAGAAAACTGTGAAGTTTGCTGTTCGATATACATTCGGTGTTGTACCACAGCATCTTTAACCTTTAAACCTGGTTTAATTTCAGTAGGAGTTATACTGAATCATGAAAGTAATACTGTAATGCAGCATGTATGATCAAAAAGCACATTCTTGGGAACACGTTTCAGGTTTCTAGAACTGACATTTAAACATGCTGATGTACATCACATTATTGTGTGCCAGAAATGTGATATCACGGCCTATTCGGTATCAGTTTTCAATGTAGTATTGAACATTTTCACTGAATATATTTGTAGTGTAACAATTTTAAAGAAAGCATTTACAAACTGTTATCAAATAAAGTCAATTTTAAATTAATGGCCCTGTGGCAAGTTGGACTTCTAATTTTGATCCTCATTTCTTTCATTTGAGCAGAATGTATTTTCAATTAGTAATAAAATTCTTTATTCTTTTTTTATAAACCCAGAAGAACTGAGTTTCAGGGAAATAATTTTAATGTGTTTCATTGGTGTATGTTTTAGTAATGCTATGGACGCTAGTGTCAAGCTCTTAAGATTGATACTGGTTTACATGCTTATGTAGACAGGTAACTGTATCGAATGGCAAACATGTTAATTGTAAAATAAGAAAATTAGAATATGTACATAGTATTAAGATGTTAGTATATGAGTTATACATAAGCTTTAGATAAGTGGCGTACATATTAATGTGTGTGTGTGCTGCATATAATATTTCTGCATTAAATGTCTCGTGTAATGGCAACAGTTTGAGTAGTTACATGTTGTGCGTAATTCCTTTTTTGTTATTTGAAATCCTCCTTTGGATACTAACAAGTTGAACATAAGCATTTCTGAGGTGCTTAATACTTTAGAGTTCATCGTCTAGTTTTAGTAAAAACAAAAAGTGCAAATTGTTTGTTTTTTATGTTTTTTTTATGTGAAAGGGTGAATCTTGAGCATATGATGTTGAAGCAGCTAGTTCCTACAGTGATTAACATGGAGCGAAACTCATTCCAGTTGTAGCTAAAATATTCTCTTTGTCAATGATAGGCATTCACATGGGATACCACAGGTGTTCAGGTATGTCCAGCTCTCAGCTTGTATGCTGAATGTAACTTTGTTTTGAACAAAAAATTGTTGTTAAAATTTAATTTGATCAATTTCCTAAACTTGACGTAGAATATCATATTTTATGTAATAAACAGTCAACAAAAGAAAGCAAAAAAGGAAAACATTGTAGTGCTCAGTAATGAGTCATGTTGGTATGCGTGAATCTAGCATTCAGGAGGTATACATATTTCCAGCTGTCATTTGTTGGAACGTTATCACAATATGGGGGAATCAAAAGTTTTTTCTTCATGTCACTACTAAAGGCGGAATAATGTTGTTCATTGTAACACTGCCTTCTTAATATTGTTCTCTGAATGTGTTCCTGGTAAATTCTGCAAGATACTTTAGCATTTCTTTGGCCTCTCCATATTTCTGATTTTTCCCTGTTCTAATTACAGTGACTTATGACTTATCTTAACTTCATAATTTAAAATTAAAGTGCCGTGCCAAAATTATGTTTTAAAGCAGTATTGCAGTTTTATAAAATATATAAGTGCAAAAAGTAGTAATCGCACAAATAATTAGATATAATTTACACAGATGGAATCACACTATTTCTTGATCACATGAGTTCAGAACTTTTCTTGGTTTACTAATTGTAGTTTATACCAGTTTTGGTGTCTACAAAAGAGCTGTGAAAATCTGGTCTGATGCTTTATGTAGAGGTATATTTGACTCATCTATCATGTCTTCTTGCCTGATGTTGGGATTTAAATGAATCTATGTCAATGGAATCTAGGCTCAGCTCCTTCTATGCGACATTTGAAGGACCAAATGCAGACTCTGGAATGAATTGTGTATTAAATGGATAAATTCCTGTCTCTCTGAATCCTGCCATCTGCTCCATACCTTTTTTTCAGAAGGTAGCCAAATGTACCACAATTTATGTGTGTCTGGGGATGTCTTATCTAGTAATTTATAACTTCTTTATCCCAAAAATTCCTAAAAGGAACATAAATGTCTATATCAAAAGTCTGTAAGTGATGTGTTGTGTTACTTGGCAAGAAAAATAACATAACATCATTTGCCTCTGTGATATGAACATTATTAGCATCTATGTGACTTCTTACTCAATTAAAAATTAAAATGATTTTCCATAGTGTTTTATATTTTCAGAAGTTAGAAACTCATTTCATAAATTATGGAAAGGTCACTGATCCATTGTCTGTCATTTCAGTTGAAATTCCCAGTGCCATGTTTTTAACCAGTCTGTGTTGTAACATTGCCCGTCGACCAAAACCACGAACAGGATAACTTGCTCTAGAATATTTCTAGACCCCACAACAGTAATTTTTCCACTGTATTTGTGGGGGGCAGTCACATGAACATTTCTTCAACCACATTTAGTATACACATTTTGCTGATGATTGAATGTAACCCTGCATTAGATAGAGCTAGTCTTTGTCACTGGACGGACCCAACTGAGTAGGTACCTCTCGCCTGAAGACAGAAACAGAGCCGGTTTCCGAAACATTGTGGTTTCTTCATTTTAAACAAGGATGATGGGAAAAGTCCAGACGATGAATAATTTTAAATACTTCTTTTCAGTTGACTTATAAACAGCCATAATGTATTAAGTATTATTACTCAAATAATGTGTTTAATTACTATCTGAAATACCAACAAATTATAAGATTTTATTATTTGAAGTACTTTTACAGGCAAAACTACTACTTTGATAAATGTAAAGCCTCTGTGAATGCCTATATATCCAGTGAATCTTCATGAAGTCAAAGAGCCATGTGACTCAGAATCTGGTACCTCCCTTTAAAAATATCTGTGTATTTGAAATAATTCAGGCTTACAAGAAATCAGACATTGCATTATCATCTTCCTGTTCATATTCGTTCTGCCCAGCTCGTCTGGATTTGACTTAATGAAATTTCACAATACAAATTATATAAATAGTTTTTGGTGTTTAGTTTGTAGCTTTTTTAGCTTTAAGACAATGGTTCTCAAAATGATTGAGACTAATCTGTCTGTATATTTGCCATAGCAGGAACCTAACCTCATGAGTCATTTGTGGGCATGCAACATATTTCAATTTCACAGAGATTTGTTAGATAGCTGTTTTTGAGCATGGCTTTTCCACCGAACAATCACTGCATTGGTTGCTACTTCTGCTGTGTCAGTTTACACTCGGGAGTCAAGGGCAGTGATGAGAGCAGGTGTGAATTTTCACATCTCATTTAGTGCTGAACAAGATTTCCATCGCGTAGGATAAGTTTATGCTAGAATATCATGTATTTTTACATGAATCTTACATGAAGTACAACTCTGCTGGGAAGAGTCAGAGGATATTCAGAAGAAGGTTTATCAGGGTCTAAGATACCAACAGAAACACTATAAATAATTTTATGATTTGAAGTTTTTGCTGCTATGTAACTCAATAAAAATTTCTCGGGTGATCAGCCGTGTCAGATGGTTAAACGATGAAACCGACGTTTCAGGGATCATCTCTGTCCCCATCATCAGAACCCTGATGCGGATGATCACCTGAGAAAATTTTATAAATGATTAGTCTGACGTTTTTGGCGGTAATGTGTACTTAAAATAATACATAATCTTGACCATTTTGTTTCTTTTGTTGGTTAAAAAACACATTGTTTTGGACATTGGCTTTTCTTTCGTCATTAAGTGAAAGTGTAAAACCTAGTCTATCCGGCCCATTGGATAAAGGTCCAGGGATTGAGATTGTCTGTATCGAGTGGACCCAGCAGTTTAGGTTTTACTATCATATGTTGACAGAAGCAGTTCCAGCTCCTGAAATATAGAGTGTATTTTAACCAGTAGGGGAAGAAAATGTTTAAGAATAATAGACAGGAAACCAAAATGTTAGAATCGGGTATTAACAGAAAAAAAGTTGGATACATTCTCCCTTTAAGTGTGTTAAATTCCTTGCACAGAAGAAGGTGTATCAAAAGAAACTGCAAGAACTGTTCAAAATTATTTAAAGTACAGTTTTACCAAGCCACAGTAGTGCACTGTTTCTAGACATGTAATGTAGTAGTCGTACTTTGTTAATGTAGGAGGTACTTTCAGTCAGTTGGGATACTGAAATCTGCTAGACCAATCGACACTGGATAAAGAACTCGAAGAAAGCTTTTATCTTCCGTTTATAGACAGCATAACTACAGCCTGTGGTGTGGGGATTGAATTTTAGCCAGTGGGAACATTTTTTGCATCTCTTTTATCATAGGTAAATAGACTTCACTATGAAGTGTTGATGCAGTCTCACTATTTGAAAGGCAGCAACCAGTACAGTGTTTGTGCAGAATGGAAAACCTGTGCCCTGACTTCGCATCCAAACTTTGTTCCTGTAGTTCAGCATTACTTTCAAACATTACAGGTATTATTTTGTAAAATTTGATATAATGGTGGCTTTCAAAATAATGATAAAATGTGAAATAAAAATTCTGTCATGATATCATGCAGGGATTAAATATCAAACCATAGCCTTTCATCCGAAGAAAGACTTTAAAAAAATGTCATACTTCTAGCATCTTTTTACGATACTCCACTGAATGTTGGAGTCTTTAGTCTGTTTCTTTGGCATTTTTTTCAGCTGGATAATATAACAGTTAAAAGTGGTAATTTGTAATGAAATTTTAAATAGATTTAAAATTTCGCTGCAGTCTTCCTAATTATGTGCAATAAATGAGAACTCTTAACTAAACATTCTGTTTGGAAGTCTCTTGCCAGGCCCATCTACAAATACTTAAGAATAATTTCTTTCTAACATTGGTATTATTTCAGTGATCTCTGAACAGTCATTTGTTTAGTCCCGCTTTAAGCATTTGTGAAAATTCTTTGGAATTGATTCACTTCAAATGGTCACTTACCAGGTCAGGCGAATCTGATATAATGTCAGTATTTGCCTGACTATGAATATTCATGTAAGGAATGTAAATCCTTAAGTAACGAATTTGAGAACCATTGTTATATTTTGTTGTTATTGTCATGAAACTGAAGAGTACTTAACAGCATGAGAAATTTATTGTCTTCTTCTTCTTCTTCCTTATATTGTTTCCACATGGGTCAACTTGCATATGAGACTCCAGCTGTCTCTGTCTGCCCATTCTTGCATTTTATCTTCTGCCCTCCAGTCTCGTCCTCTCCTCTCTTAAACTCTTTTAACTTAATCTGTGCATCATGTGCATGGTCTGCCCCTAGGTCTTCCACCACTCATCTTCATTTCCAATAATCTTTTCAATACTCTATTATCTTTCTTCCATTCATTTTCACCACTGTTTCTCTTCTCCATTTCTCAAGAGTTTTAACATTACTATCTTTGCTCGATTTAATTGCAGTCCATAGTCCTTGCTTTCTCTTCCTCGGTGGCCTAGTCTTATCTCATGTTCCTTCACGTCTTTACCCAAATGTTTAAAATATTGAAACAAACCTTTAGACGTATATTATATTTATGTTTCTATATTCTTAATACAAAATTGGAAAAAGTCATAAGAGTACTGTTATAATAGACTTCACTTGTTATTACTCAAAACTGTAAGTAATATCAGGTATTCTTATTAACATTCATCATCAAAATACTTAGGTACGTACTTCGATAGAGTTAAAATTTGTGTCTTGATCAGAATCTTGCTTAATGTTGCAAAGTATGACTTTGTGTAAAATAGTTACCGACATTTCTCAATTGTAACTGTCCGAAATCCTATATTTAACTTTTTAAGTACAGTGTTGAAACATAAGAGGGTAAGTTACTTATTTGTGAAAATTATTAAAGAACATGACAGTGTTTGCAACTTAAACACGTGGAGTATTTTTGTCAGAAATGTTACGTGATTTTATTATAGAGTCTTAAAGAGGTAATTGTTGAGAGAGTTTTCATATAGAATATATGATATACACACTTGCTCATGTTTAAAACAAAGTATGTGTCATGTT